GCTTTCTTTTCCATACAAGGCGCGGTTCGTCGTTCATAAACCAAAGGGCGAGGCGGTAGTTGCCCACGAGGAGCTCGTTGGAGGAACCCCACGATAATGTATAGATCGGTTCGTCGCCATCGGGGGCGCGGAATGTATAAAGAAGTGACCACTAAAGGAAGCCATGTGTCAACATAAATTGTGATTGCATTTTTGAGACTGTGTTGCTGGTCGACCAAGCTTCGAGTGGTGGGGTTGTATGCGCACCTTGAGCGTCTCGCCTTGGATGCCGTACGGCTGGTACACGAATACATCAGGGCCACCGCAAACTGCAATCCTGCCAGATGTTTCGTCAAACGCTACGGCCTCGAGGGCATCTGTGTCATCGACGTAAATCGTTTGGAGGAGCGTTTGCGGACCGCCGAGGATAACCAGCGCGTGGCCGGAGATGTATGCCTATTGGGGAACGCGCGGGGACAAGGGTCAGCAATAGGGGATTTAGATAAGCTGCAGAGCTGAAGCAAAACTTAGGCAAGGATTGTGAGTACTTACAACAACACGAAGACCATCCCACAGCGCCGTGCTGAACGACTGGAGCTTCGCTGGGGGTCTCCCCGGCAGTACCGCTCGCATAGAGGCGGTTTGTTCGGGAGTTGGACGCTCGTTGCGCTCGAAAACACGTTACAACATTGCCAGCTCCAAGTTTATTATGCCTGGGAGTAGCCAGAGTTGCAGGGGGAACGGAAGGTAGGAGATGTGGGTTTGGGAAGTTGTCTGGATACATGCAGGGGACAAGGCGGAAGAGAGACGTCAATTACGCTTCCGCTCCACTTGTGACTGATGACCATCAACTTGAACAACACAAAGGAGCTAGGTACGAATCTAAACATGTTGTGAATCCAGCGATTGCTATTTCTCAGGGTAATAAATTTGTATTCAAAGAGCTCTAAGTTATCTGGGACAGCTCTACAGAGCTCCCCGATAAGCATTTACTATATCTGACCTCGGCGGGATCAACCAGATACTATACAGTAGACAATTACATATCTCATTGAACGAACATGCCTTCCCCTACAAGTTCTCTAGAAAAGGCCATTTCATAATTTAAGGATCACATTCAATCATGGCAAAAGTACAAAAGAGTATACCAAAGAACCAGAAACCCTTGAACCCGCTATATGTTGCGCCGGATGATGCATTGAATGAAACATGATCGCACCTATTGACAGGGCATGAGAGAAAACATTATAACCATCGCTGATGTACATGAGGCTGAAGCAGCTTCATAGAGATCATATACCGAACAAGAACGTCAAGATCGTCGATTCGCTGATCTACGACCATCTGTCGGGGACTCGGGAGGTTCTTCATCCACAAACCGGACGCTATTTCCCACGGAGCTTCGCCGACCAGTCCGTGGTTGTTTGGAAGAGGTGGACAAAGCAGTCGTAGCCCCGGCTCGAAGTAGTCGACTTGCGAAAGGTGTGCGTAAGGGTGTGGCGGGGGTGGTGGACATTTGGGCGAGGGCTCGCGCCCGGGCGGCTCGTTTAGAAGGAGAGGTCGTGAAATTGGGGGTTGCCAAGGGGCTTGCAGACATCGGATCATGGGAGGTTGTCTGAGATGTTGCCTGGGATGTTGCTGTGAAGTCACTTATTTTGAAAGGTGTTTCTGCCTGCTCTTGATACCAGGGATCAAACATCGCTGATCCGAGGCCATCGCCATTTCCAAAGGTTGAAATTCGTGCAGGCGTGAAGGTTGGACCGGCCGAATCTCGAGCCTCCAGCTTCACTCGGGCTTTGTCCACCCAATCACGGAACATGTTTCTCGAATGCTTCCGCAAATTTCTTTCCCGCATGGCTTCGGCGGTCTCGGCGGTACTACCCATCTGGAAGATACGAAGGCTGAGCTTGCGAAGAGAAGCTGCCGCCAGTCGTAGGACATGCAATCGATATACATTGTCTGCTTGGTCTTCCATCTCACGTCGAATGATGAAGGTTTCGGACATTTGCATCATCTGGCCAAACGCGAGTTGTCGGAAATAGGAGTCATCGGCGTCCTGGCAATCCTGAACTCTCTTGGTTGTTTTGTCGTGCCATTGGACGAATATCTCGGATGCGTCGGCAAGCAATTTTTCGCGATCAACATCAGCAGCTTGTTGCTCCATATCCATGATGATTCGAGTTTTTGATGACCAGGCAGCCAACGCCTTAGACGCGAGGTTGACCTTGATATGCCGCCGGACTTTAGCATACGACTCTTGCCGCCGTCGTTTGCCAGAGTTCACTTTGGCCTGATGCCATTGCTTCATGGACTTCTTCATCAAGAAATAGAATCGAGCATCTTGAGCCCAACCTTCCATCTTGACTACTTGATTATGCTTGGATCGCCAGATCGTAAGAGACTCAGCTGCGAGCTGTGGAGCATAAAACTCAGATGCTACATACTCCCGCTCGCGCTGAAGTTGCACTTGATCACGCCAAATGGCAAATTTAGATCGAACTAAATTTTCGGTTTGATGAGCCTCATGAGCTTCAGCATGAAAGAGTAAACGGGTGTAAGTATCCCGAGTGTTTGTCACGAATCGAGAGAATACTTCCCGCTTGATGCGTTGCTCTCGTATCCTTCGCATTAGCTCAAATCTTTCCATCAGAATCCATTTGTACATCGCCTCCATTTTGATCCGCTCGTCAATTCGAGCACGAAGAGCCAAGCAGCGAAGCGTATCATTCCAGGAGATCCACGCGTTGTGTTGGATTCGATGGCGATCTACCTCTTCCGCCTGTCTGATCATTTCGATCTTCCCAATCCACCGCGAAAGGGCGTTTCGTAGAATCCTAGTATCGACCATCTCAGAGACACGAGAAGCAGCCGGTGCCAGCCGAGACTGAATTCTCCATTCATCAAAGGTTTCTCTGAGGTCATGTTGGCGCCGAGAAACCTGGACTTGCTGATCTGCAAGTGCAATTGTTTTCGAGTGATGAGACCATATCTGAAATACTGACTTCAGTGATGATCGTTTGTTGTGCAGGTCTATTTCATGGTCGCGCTCTCGATTAGTTCTCAAGTTCCGAAGCCAGGAAAGAAGTGACCGTCTTTTGAGTCGATAATCAGAAACCTCAAGAACACGCCGGTCGCAGAAGCACCACCACCAGTCCCAAAACGCTGCTTTTTGAATTTTTGTGTTGCGTACACTGACTGCTTGTGTCTCTGCTGCCTTCAAATCTTGGATCTTCTTCCGCCACGTGTTAAAAGGCCTCCGTAGTGCAAACCGCTGAGCCTTCAACTCATTGACAGCAGTGATCTCGCGCCAGGCATTGAAATATTTGACACCAAGTACATGTCTCCGGGCAGCAGAGGTCCGAGCTACTTCTTCCGACGCAAGTTGGGCCCAATGACTGAATGCCTTTGTCATTAGATATAAATCCCGTGCGCGACTGGCACGCGCTTCAAGGTGCTTGAAGAATCGATCTGTTCGAGCCGAGTGGCGTTTTTCTTGAATTACTCCGCGCCATGGCTCAAAGGCTTGTCGGAGAAGAAGGCCTCGATCATAATTTACAGCAAGTGTTTCCCTGGTTTGGCGAGTCTGTCGTGCTTGAAAGGCTTTTTTCAGCCATTGTGTCAAAATTCGACGGCAGATCGATCGTTGTCGATACATGTTGAAGGTTGATGCATCCCGAAGTAGATCCGAAAGCTGCGGGCGATAAATAAACTCTGGTGGCACCTCTTCTTTGTCAAAAGAGTCGTGTTCTGGGCTCTGCGACATGATTGATTGCACATCTTCGGACTCGGAGGTGTCCGAGGAATCGTATGAGGGTGAACGACGGGGACGTGAGGCTTCGGCAATTCTCCTCGAACGATCACGGGCAACGGCCGACCTCGCAATCACTCCATTAGTCAATGGGGGTTCTTCCGTGACCCCATGCTTGTTTTCTGTTCCATCAAACCTGCTGAGCAATCGCCGACCAACATCCAAGAACTGGCTGATTAATTGTGTCCGATCTGGCGATTTGGTAGGCCCGGAATCATGTCCAGATGTAGGTGACAGTTTTAGTTTAGAAAACTCGGGTTTGCCATTTTCAAGTCGCGACATTGACGATCGAGAGCTAGGGCGATTGACTGCACTTCTCTGTGTAGCATCCTCGCCAATGTCGTACGTAGTGTTGAACGATGCGCGCCGCTTGGGGGTCGGTGGTACTCCATTCGTAATTGGAACATGGTCATGGTGATGGTCAACCGTCTGGCTGTGGGTAACATCCGCTGTATATTGATCATAGTCATGTGTCTCATTAAGGTTCGTAGAGCCGTCCTCGCCGATTTCGATCACGATTCCCATCTGTTGGAGCGCATTCTCGAATTTGTCGAAGAGAGTCTCGCCGCGCACACCTTTGCTTCCCATCTTGAACAGGAAGCGTAGGCATGCATGGCCAGGATCCGCGTTGACGCCATGTTCGCCAATGACTTCATCGTATGCTTCGAAGAGCGCACGGAATGGGAGTCGATCTGCTTCGGGTTTTGTCTCGGCGGCAGCAACAACCTGGTAGAGAAAGCCAACATCTATGGAGGTCAGGTTCCGTTTAGTCAATGAGTGATTGGTTGCGCCCTACCATCGTCTGAAAGAGATGAGATCTCTTCGGTCACCGCTCGACGCTGAGAGGATATCGGAGGCATCGAAAATTCGCGGTCTTAAGGCGCGCTTGTCGCATCTGGGTCATAGAGCTGCAGGACCAAATAAATCATCGCGAAAGCGGGGAGCACCGAGGATGAAAGGCATGCGCGGACAGAGGCCCTCTGCAATCAGAAATTCCAAAAGAATAGGAACAATGAACTACCCATGCGCCATTAATCGAAGTAACGGTAGGCTAAGCGGGTTGTTTTGGTTGTCGCGACAGAAAGATGCAGGACGGTCACGTGGCCTTATGTAACATTCTTGGATTTCCATGTCTTGAGGTTCTATTGGCTTCACATCGGAATATTAAGCTACTTTGCATTTCAGAGCCGCATCCTCACATCATCCTTCCAAGATGCCGGGAAAAACTCGTCCAGTTGAGAAGATTGCCAAAGCTTCAGCCCAATGCTCCGTAGAGGTGTGTAGCTTCTGACTGACCTCATCTCGCCATTACCGAACTAACTAGCCTGATAGGTTGCGGCATACGGCAAGTGTGTTCTTACGGATTACAACTCGGTGCATAAAGATATGTGTGCCAAAGAGTTTATGCGATTGAAGAATTGCTACCTGGTAGGTGACGAGCGAGTGCTGCGCCGTTCGACACGCTAACCAACCCAACAGGCGGCATCCAAAAAGGGCTAAAGAATTGTTCCTTGAAATTATATGTTGGTAGAATCAAAGGCATCGGAAGCACTCAAAGATTTGGAGCCGTTTTGGTATGACGGCGCAAGAAGGAGCATTTGTAAATTATTCTAGGTTGAAGTTCGCTAGTTATTGAAGGTGAACTATTGATGAAAGGCCATATGATTTCATTCAAAACAACAAAAAAATAGTGAAAAAGTAGACTCGATATCTACATATGCTCTTTTGGTTGGCTTTTTAAAGCTTGAGCAGGCGCAACAAGAAAGTGGCATTTTGCACCTCCTGTTCTTCCTGTGAGATAGTACCCTCTTCCTCTCCGGTAGGAAGCTTATCGCCACCAAATGCACTCTGGTCAACTGGGCGGCGCAGGACCTTCTCAAAGGCTTGAGCCTGAGATTTGAAAGCCTCACCGAGGCCAATGTTGTCGGGGTCCGAGATCACGGTGTATTCCATTTTCACATCGTCGGTGGGGACAAGACCAGCCTTCTTGCGAAGGCGTTGAACTCGGTTGATGATCTCACGACCCAGACCCTGATGAGCCAGCTCTGGGTACAAGTTCACATCAAGAATGGTCAACACGTCAGAATCGGTGTTGGTTTCCATGCCCTTGGAGTTGTCAGTCTCCTTGATTCCTCGCTTCACAATAAGGTCACCCTCAACGAGTTCAATGCCATCCACCAAGATCTTCTTGTCCGCGAGATATCCCTTCACGTCATTGCTAGTAAGAGATGGCAAAGCCTTCTTAACTGTTTGAACAGCCTTCTTCAGCTTCTTTCCAAGCACAGGCCAGTCAGCGGACACTGAGTATTCAACGTCGTATTTGGCTTCGTCGGAGGAGAGAACAAGCTCCAAAACGTTAAGCTCCTCGAGAATGTAGGGCTCGAGGGACTTGACATCTTCGAGGTATTGCGGGTCATTATGAATCACAACAAGTGACTTCAAAGGGGTCTTAAGACCGATAGTCCGACGTTCGCGAGAAATACGGCCGAGTTCGATAATGGTCTGCATCCGAGCAACTCTGCGTTCAACAACTTCGTCAAAGAGCTCTTGGCGCACTTCGGGGAAGGGAAGGAAGTGTACGCAGCGGCTGTCTTCGGCACGGAGCGACTCGGGAATGTGGGGAAGAAGGCGCTGGTAGATGTTGTCGGTGATGAATGGAGTGAATGGAGCAAGGCCTCGGACAAGAGTGTAGAGAACCTCAAAGAGAGTGTTCAGGGCGTGCAATGTATCATCAACGCCATTTTCACCCTTAAGTCTCTTGCGGTTGAAGCGAATGTACCAGTTTGTCGTGTTATCAATCAACTCTAGGAGTCGCGGTACAACGGTATACAGACGGTAAGCGGCCATCTCCTGGTTAATGAACAAGAGTAGTGATTGGCAGCTGGCAAGGATCCAACGATCCATCACGTTTGTGTTAGTGCTCTCTGCTGCAGGATCAAAGACAAATTCGATGTCGGAAGTCTTCTTCAGGAGGGTAACCTGGCCCTCGAAGAACTTGTAGCTGTTCCACAATGGGAGAAGCACTTTACTGACGATTTCCTTGACGCCAGTTTCTTTGAATCTAAGAGGCTCCGCACGAACGACAGGGCTGTTGATCATGTACAATCGAAGAGCGTCCGATCTGTTTGGACAATGTTAATGAAAATTTGTATGGAGAACTCCCGAAGAGCGTGAAAAGTGAACGAATCGGAAGTGAAGAGCTGCGGAACTCACCCGTATGAATTCATGATCAGCGATGGGTCAGGGTAATTTTTCAATCTGTGGAATTAGCGTATAAGATAAGGTTCAGGTCATGGTCATATCGAGATGTTGTTTACACACCTTTTAGACATCTTTAGACCGTTCTCTGCGAGGACAATGCCATTCACCACGACATTCTTGTATGGTAGTCTTTGGCGCAGATGGACCCCGATAACGCTGAGTACATAGAACCACCCTCGTGTTTGGCTAAAATCTAACATTAGCGCGTGAAAACCGGCAGAAAAAAAGCCGGGGGGGGGGGGGGGGGGGGGGGGGAGTAACTTACTCGAGACCTTCGGCAATAAAGTCTGCTGGGAAACGGTCTTCAAACTCCTCTGCACCCTCAAAGGGGTAGTGGACACTTGCAAAGGGCATACTTCCTGATTCGAACCAGCAATCAAAGACCTCCGAAACACGTCTCAAGACACCATTTCCTTTCTTAGAAGGAATGGTAATGTGATCGACCTTATCACGATGAATATCGGTGAGCTCGCCCTCATAGCCACTCAATTCCCTAAGTTGCTCGATGCTACCGACAGCAACAATTTCCGAGAAATCGTCACTAACCCACAATGGCAGTGGCGTTCCCCAGAAACGGTTCCGAGAAATGTTCCAGTCATGAGCGTTCCGAATCCAACTGGCAAATCTCCGCTCCTTAACATTGGAGGGGACCCAGTGAGACTTTTCAATGCCATCAAGGATGTCGGGAATGATAGGCTTAACCTTCACAAACCAAGATGGCACAGCACGGTAGATCAGAGGGGTATCGGACCGCCAGCAGAAAGGATAGCTGTGAGTAATCTGGCTGTCAACAAGGACACGACCATTGCTCTTGAGGAGCTTGATGATGCCCTTGTCAGCAACCTTGACGTTCTGGCCCGCAAAGTCCCGGACTTCAGCTGTGAAACAGCCCTGCGGATCAACGGGATTAGGAGGAAGACGAGTCTCGGAAATGACGCCGTGGTTCATGGCGACTTGGTAATCCTCCTCACCAAAAGCAGGAGCCTGGTGAACAATACCCACACCATCCTCAGCAGTGACATATTCGTCATTCAGCACTTGGAAGCCACAGTCCTTGAATTCTTCATAGAAGTAATCAAAGAGGGGTTGGTACTTCCATCCAAGCATGTCGGAACCCTTGATGCGGTCGACGATCTTGAACTTAGCCTTCTTCGGGTCCTTGTAGATAGTCCGAAGAAGAGCCTCGAGGAGGATGTAGTTTTTCTTTGTCGCCTCATCGTAGATCTTGACGTACTCAAAGTTGGGGTTAGCACATAAACCGGTGTGCGATGGAAGTGTCCATGGGGTGGTGGTCCATGCAAGCAGGCATGTATCAGGGTCATCCAACAGAGGGAATGTCACAACAACGGCGGGGTCCTGAACATCCTTATAGTTCTGCTGCGCTTCGAAGTTGCTGAGCGGCGTATTGAGGGCGGTGGAGTAAGGCATAACACGGTATCCGCGGTAGACGAGGCCCTTATCGAAGAGTTCCTTGAAAACCCACCAGACGGATTCCATGAATGATGGGTTCATGGTCTAGATGACAAGAAAAAAAACATTAACACAAGGGCGCAGACAATCAGACGTGCTCGAGCGTACCTTGTAATCGTTATCGAAGTCAATCCAGCGACCCAATCGCTCGATGGTTTGGCGCCATTCTGTTGCGTATCTCATAACAATCGACCGACACTCCTCGTTGTATTTCTCAATTCCGATCTCTTGGACCGCCTGCAGACCAGACATGCCCAATTTTTTGTCGATCTCATATCTGAGTTTTGTGTCAGCCAGAAATTAGGTACACGATCTTGAACAAGTCTTGTCTTGAATCGAATTGGACCTACTCAATGGGAACACCATGCGTATCCCAGCCAAAACGGCGCTCCACATGGAATCCCTTCATAGACCAATAACGGGGGATCACATCCTTGATTGTCTAGTGGAAATTTTTAGAACCACTTGCAACTTATTCGCAAATTGATCGCTGTGATCTTACCGAAGCAAGCAAGTGCCCATAATGAGGGGTTCCGGTAGCGAACGGAGGGCCGTCTAGGAATCCATAGCGTGGCTTTCCAGCCGAAAGTTCAACTTGGCGTTTGAAGGCATCGATCTCCCTCCACCGAGCGAGCACGAGTTCTTCTTCCGCAGGAAAATCCATGACGTGGTGGCTCCAGTGGTTTACGAGAGAAGATTGACTGCTAACAACCTCTCAGGGCTTGCAAGTCCACGGTGAGTCACCCCGCCTCGTTTTTCTGCCAGTGTGCCTTGCCTTAACCCCTCCATCTACACCGCCTTCTACAGCCAGATAGGTATCATGTTAGGGCAAGCAGAAGATGAAAGGACTCCTAAAATAAAGGCAAAGAACAAAGACAAAAATCCAAATGGGTGACGATGACTGGTACATGACAAGTAGATAACGGGGTGAGTAGACAGTATTTTTTACAACCTAGCTATAATCCAGCGCGGGATATACGATTCGAGCAACCTACATATATACAACTTTGAGGTATCAGCCGAGGGCTCGACCCATACATGCTCTACAAGGGCAAACAAAGAGTCCATTTGGAACATCAATTGAGTTCATTTTACATTTCTCTAACTCCATTCCTTGCCCAGACCCTCATTCCCAATTCCCAAACGTGTCAACAGATACTAATAACAGTATTGAAAGAAGCAAGAAGAAATAGTCAGGAAACTGGACCCTCATTTACTTTCTAGTACCGATTATACCCTCCTCCGCCTTGGTTGTGGGAATAATGGTCTCGGTTCTGCCCACCACGGCCGCGGCCTCCACGGTTACCTCCTCTGCCTCCACGATAATCCTGCTGGCCATAGCCTGATTGATGACCGTTATTGTACTGACCACCCTGGTTGTACTGGTTGTTCTGTTGGCCATAATAGTCCCCAGGCTGTTGGTAGCCGTGTTGGGGTGGGTACTGAGGTGGGTACTGGTGTGACATTCCGCCACGTGGAGGGGGAGGTGGTCCTCTGGCGTAGCCTCCATACCCTTGGCCAGGGGGAACCCAGCCAGGGGGCACCATGGGGGCACCACCGGGACCTCCGGGACCACCTTGTGGGGTGGAATTGAACTTCGGGTCAAGATGCGCAGCAAATGGGTTCGGGCGGTCACTCGAATAGTTCATCCGGCCGCCGCGTCCTCTGCCCTGGAAAGGTGCGCCACCGAATGATCGGCCGGAGTTTTGGGACCGGGTCTGGGTGGCTCTGATATCATTTGAATCCAGCATTGGCGTCGGTAGCTTCACCCCACGGAGAAGCATAGACTTATGGACATGGGAAGTCTTTGGGATTGTATATAGGACCCTTTAATCGGTTAGTATACGAA